TTTTTAGCCCAAGCTGGCTATAACCTCTGAAGTGTTAGAATTACATGTATGGTGATACATACAACCACACCTAACTCCAATTACAAAGGCCACTGACACCCAAAATAAACAGCATACCATTCAAAAGAAAAAGATTATCATATTATCCTTAATTTGTATCAGTACTCCATTGCACAAAAGCTTATCCTTCTTTCCAACAGTAAATAAAACAGGTAAAACTAAAAAGAGCCCAAAATGGCAAATTTTGACTACTGGAGAAATAGAAATATAAATGATGAGAATGCTTCATGTTACTTTCATACTACTATATATATCCACATGTTGCTCCCAAATCAGTCATTTTATGACAGGTAAAGTCCTAGATGTTAGCAAAGTATGAGGTGTGTGTGTGTGTGTGTGTGTGTGTGTGTTCTGTTTTGTTTTTGCAGCAGTAGTGACAGAACTCAAAGCCTCTCATTTGCTAGGTTCTACAACTGCCCATTTCACATTGGTTAAAATTTTGGGAGATAGGATCTGATTTTATGCCCTGGCCTACCTGGACTGCAATTCTCCTATTTGTGCTTCCCCTGTACTGGGATAACAAATATATACTACCATGCCCAACTATTGGCTAATATGGAGGTCTCCTGAACTATTTTCGGGCCATGCTTGCCTCAAATCACAATCCTTTCATCTCTGTTCCCTAGTAGCTATGATTATAGGCTTGAGCCACTGCAACAGCTCACATGTTCATGTTTGAACTGAGCTTCTCCATTTCCATATAACCTACTGATAAAACTATATTTCTGGCAAAAAAGAAACACATATTTAACTAGTTTTGAATCTTTAATCTTCTCCAATCAAGCCTCCATATTCTCAGAATTTTTCCTTAAAATTCACACATAATCAATATTTTCATTGAAGATTCTATTTAAGTCTTCAAGAAGTTTGCCAGCTTAAGATATTTTGTCTAGCTCAGTTGCTGAAATTATCATTCACTCCTTATCATTCACAGACTGAATTAAAACTTCTCCTAAATACACTGATCTCCAATCAACTAACCTGACATAAAGAGGAGCAAGATGAAATGCTAAGTGATTAAAAATAACTATCTCTTCACTGATCATTAACCTGACTTTCAGTTTCTGCTTTTTAATACCCATCACCAAATTATTTTGAACTATTTAGAATCATTCATTAGTAGCATAATCATAAATGCTTGTTTTTACCCTTATCAAAGGTTTTACCTATAAATGTAGCCACAATTCCCCTCCAGAAATTTTTCCATAAAGGGATTAGATTATACTAGTATAGAAGCTGTTCAATATCTCAGTAAATAAACTTTCAAACAAAACAGAAAACAATTTTAATTATCAAAGAAATTTCTTATGTTTTTTGGGGTTTTGCACTATTGAGGATTGAACCCAGGGCTTCCTCAAGCATGCCAGCCAAGCACTCTACTACTTAAGCCATGCCCTCCAGTTCCCAGATGTCCTATTTAGGCATATTTCCAATGAGATTATTCTACTAACAAAATCTAAATAAGAAATCCAATTTTTGCTTTCTATAGCTCTATTTAATATCCCAAATGCATCATTCTAATTTGCCTTTGAATAATAGTCTGTCATCCATAAACGCGGTATGTTTTTCATTTAACAAGAACCCGAAGCTACAAAGGAAATTGAATTCTAGAAGTGGACAATTAATTTGACAGTATTTGAATGAGTATGTCAAAATCAAAAACTAAATAAGAAACCGAAACCATAAAATGTTAGGAAAAGGAAAACTTAATTTAATTTCCATGGTCTAATAAAAGATCTTCTTAGCAGGGAGCAAATTCATTTCCGTTTTTGAGACAAGAAAAAAAAAGATGATGTACTTTGTTTCTATAAAAAGAACCTCTAGAACATATGACTTATAAATAATTCAGAGTTCAACAAATTTCAGTTGGCTTTTTTTGGGTTCAGGTAAGAAAGGCTTCACAGAGAAGTCAGTACAACAGTAATAACAGGAAGGAAGGGGCTACCTCATAATTTTCTATGCCTCACAACTATCAGGCTTTTTATATTTCTAGGGAAATGGAGAAGGAAATAAACTTCATATTAGTATCTTCCTTAGGAATTGAAGTATGTAGTAATCAAAAATTAGGTAATCAAAAATTATATAGTCAAAATCTATAAACCTAAAGAAACTCTAAATGCCCCATTCTCCTTTTTGTTAAGTACTAATATATCATGGCACAAAACTTAATACGTTAACTCATTTTACCATAAAACTATTTTATGGACAACTGTGGAGAAATTACCCACATAAAAATATGTTCTAATTTTTAAAAGTCCATTGTCTGATAACATAAATATTCTCTGTAGAAATAGCATTTTTTTGTTTGGGTTTTTTTTAACTTTTTTTTAGAAATAGCATTTTTTATAATAGCTATTCAATTGAGATATGATGCCATTTCATTGTGGTTTTGATTTGCATTTCCAGATAATTAGTTTTATTGTGTATTTTCTCACATACTTCTTGGCCATTTGTATATGTTCCTTCAAGAAATGTCTGTGCAAGTCCATCTATCTTTTTTTTTTTTAATTTTATTTTATTGTAAAGCTACTATACAGAGGGTTACAGTTACATGAGTGAGGCAATGAGTACACTTCCTCTTGAACATTGTTACCCCCTCCATTGTTTTCCCCCTACCATCCCCATCTATCATTTTTAATAATTATTTTGTTCTATACATTATCAATCTAGAATAGTTAGTATTTTCTCCCATTCTATAGGGTGCCTCTTCAACTCTGTTGATTCTTTGCTATATACAAGATTTATAGTTTGATATAATCTCATTTGTCAATTTTTGCCAAGTATTGTTTTTTTGTTTTTTGCCAGTCGTAGACCTGAACTCTGGGCCTAGGTGCTGTCCCTCAGCTCTTCAGCTCAAGGTGAGCGCTCTACCGCTTGAGCCACAGCGCCACTTCCAGCTTTTTCTGTTTATGTGGTGCTGAAGAATCGAACCCAGGGCCTCATGCATGCAAGGCAAGCACTCTACCACTGAGCCACCTTCCCAGCCCTTGCCAAGTATTCTGATTCACTCTGTATATGTATTTATTTACTTACTTCTTGTCCCTCTCAAGTGTGATTTCTTAAAGTTCTAGTCTAGAAATCATTATCCCTTAAAATTATGTCACTATGTTAAGTAGGTCTTAATACTACTGGTCTAGAAATCAGTCTCCCTCAAAATCATGTCAGTGTATCATTAAGTGGGTCCTCACTATTACTACTCATACCCATTCCTGCAATTTCAAAGTTATAAGACCATATTTTAAATCTTAATAGATGTTATTTGATTGATAAAAACAACCATGTGGTAGTTTTCATTTTTGTAAATATTGGGAAATAAGAGCATTGGAGATCTTTTAAATGTACAATTGATTGTCTCATTTTATAACTACCGACACATAGAAACAAATAGCCATATTATTATTACCTGACAACTAAAGTACAGAACTTGGTGTATTATGATCTGTGTGCCCAGGTACAAGCTCCGGGTACCAATTTTCCTGCTTCCTGTTTTTCTTCCACACTGTTGCCATGGTACCTTGCAGATTTATCAAGTACAAATCAATCACGTTATTTCTCTGCCTTTTTAAGTCTTTCAGAGGCACCCACAAGTTTTACAAGATTTATGGATGATTTAGTTCATGACAGCCTCATCTCCCCCCCTCCTCTTCTCACATCCTCTCCAACCATTCAGTTTTTCTGAGTTGTCTAAATGCCTTGCTATCCCTGGCCTCCTTCCTGCACACATGATGCTATTTTACCTTTTCCCTCTGCCTACTTCTTACAAGGCAGAATTAAGTATTAGCACTTCAAATCCTTTGCATCTCTCTGGCTTGATATGGCAAACAACTGACATATATGTCTCTACCAAAAACCCTAACCTCCTAGAGAACACAAACTACCATCCTTAATTGGTTTGTTGCATCAATGACTGGCACAGAGTAAAGGTTTATTCATGGACACTTTCGATTTGATTACCTCCTAAATTGTTTATTGACAGGCCCAGACTGGCCTGGAACCCACAATCCTCCTGCCTGAACCTCCTGAGTGCCTAAGAGATCTGCTGAGTTTTGGAAGAGAATAGTGTTGTGTTTTGTTTTAGTGGGCCTGATGGCATTATTACAAAGCACAAATGCGCTTCAGATTGGTAATGCAAAAAATAAATAACAAGAAACATACCCTTGGAAAAGGAGAAGGCTAGGGAATTCTGAGGAAGTTGCATACATCTACTAACCCAGCACTGGGCTTACCATTTGGTAGTCAAGAAGCAGTAGAAGTCCTCTCACTTCAATAAAAGCATATTAACTTTTCTTAAGTCATGTCGTTAATTTCGAATCTCTTCCTAAGAGGTTTTTTTGTTTTTGTTTTTTTAAATTTGGGACTTCATTCACCATCTTAAGAGTCCCTTTTTACTCATCAAGCAGCCACTAATTCTTTAAATCTGAATGAAAGACAGGGTTCGGGGGAGGGAGGATGTGGGGGGAGGGATGATACACATTTCTGGCAGGGTAGGCGGCAAAAGCCACAGTGGCAGGGATGGCGCACGAGGGGGGCACGGGGGCAATAACAGGGTGGGAGGGCTGACATCGGGCATGGATCACCGAGCAAGTAGCAGGGGACGGTGGACAGCGGGCTTGGGGGGGGGGGGGGGAGGAGAAGAAACTCAGGAAGAAGCCTAGAAGGGGGAAGGAGGGGCTGGGGAGGCGGAGGAAGGGCAGAGGCCCGCGATTTGGCAGCGATGACAGAGGCTGAGGAGGAAAACTGGGGAGCCAGGAGGGCGGCCCCGACGCGGCCGGGCCGGGCCGGGATGTCAAAGGCGGCCGGAAGGGGAGTCGTCGGGGCGCGGAGGCGGCGCGGCCCCGAGGGCAGGGCCCGGCGGACCCGGGGCGGCGGGCGCCCGGGGAAGCAAGGCCGCCACACGGGCGGGCGGGGGACTTATTGGGGTGACACCGGGGCGCACTTACTGGGGTCCCTCCGCAGGACGCCGCTGGGGGTCTCCTCCCGCAGCTGAGGGAAGAGGAAGTCCCGGGCGGCCTGGAGGTCCTGGAAGTAGCAGAACTGGACGATGGAACAGGCCATGGTGGTGGGGAATCCCACTAGGGTGGGTGGGGGGGGTAACTCACTTTATCACGCCCGGCCCCCCACCAACTCACCGCGGCCGCAGCCAAACCCCGAAAGCTTTAGCCACGCCGGGGGCGGGGAGGGCGGGGAAAGCAAACCGGAAGTTGTCAGCGCACTCAGAGCACGGTCCCCGGGAGCTGCGCATGCGCAGGGCCGCCCAAACGCCGGAGCGGGAGAGGGGGTGGAGGGGGGGGAAGCGGGGCCGGAGGACGTGCGGGCTGTCTGAGTCACGTGATGAGGGACGCTGCTGTGGGAGAGTCGGGCGGCGCAGACGTGGCGACTCTGGGCTTCCTTCCAGTCCCGGTTCTGCTCCGGCAAGTTGAACCCTTTCATTCATTCTGGCTTGAGCCGGGATGATGTAATCGGACTTTGGAGTCCTTCGCCAGCCCTTGGACGGCCGGGGTTCGTGTCACTGGCAGCCTCTCTGGGCCCAGCAGAGGACCTGCCATCTTTAGCAGGTGCTCAATAATAATTTGCTTCAGAAGTACGTGGAATGGACATAGGTACAGACATAGGATAACCGGGCTCTCTTGCAAATGCGCATTGCTTTTGAGAGTACTTTTCCAAACCTCGCCCCCGATGTGAGTCGTTTTGGAAGGGTGACTTCGTGTGTGTGTAGACCAGATCTCATTTTGTCCCCTGGCCGCCTCCTCTTCCTCCCCCCACCCCGCCCCGGGTGCCGAGATTATGTACCCGCACCACGATACCTGCTTCACAACACATAGGTCAACCAATTTTTTTAAATGAAAAATGTGAAGGAAATGTCACTGAGGAGACTCTTGAAACCCATTTACATTATTTTCATAAAATGTGAAAACAAAAAGGCGTCCATGTTAGCACAACAGGACTGTAGGCGAGTGTGCACCTGCCAAAGGAAACCTAGAGGGGTCCTCTACTTTTTGTGACAGAGAAGGAGTAAGTGAAAGGGAAATATATTCGGTCCAAAGCATTCGTTTCTATCCTGCCCATATGTATATATTGTCCTAATATAACAGCTGTGATTGAGTGTCCAAGTTCTTAATTCCTTCTTCTAGAGTAGAATGATTTGCTTCACACAAAATAGCAATTTTTACTTTATCAGATTGCCAGGGATCAGTTCTGTAATGTAAGGGCTGAATTAGATGTCCTGCAAGGTTATTTCAAATTCTTTTTTTTTTTTTTTAACCAGGGCTGAGAACCAAACCCAGGGCCTTGCGCGCGCCAGGCGGGCGCCCTTCCGCTGGGCTAAACCCCCAGCCCCGGTTATTTCAAATTCTATAATAAAAACTTTGCAGAAAAAGGGCTAGTGGCAGCCACTGTTCTTTTCTTCCATCTAAACAAATGTAGCACTGGGTAGAATAATAGAATTCTGATAAGATCATTCCCTAAGAATCTAGCAACCAAAATAAACACAGGAATGAACATTAAATTTAGATTCATAGCTTTACTGGGGAATAAGGAGCGCATGACACTTTATGGAAAAACGCTGTGTCATTTCATACGAGACATTGAAGTTCCTGTTCAGGTAAAAGCGTTTGTGGAAACAACTGCCCTAGGCTGATTCAGCTGGCCTTTTGTTCTGCCCTGAGGCATTCTATACCTCCTGGGTGGTGATCACTGAATGTCATTACTTCTTCGAAGTGGTGTTCAAAAGGTTCATTCATGTGTTTTAAAGGACTTTAAATATCCTTCACAGAAATTACAGCACAAGTTGAACTGATCTCTTCCTTGGGAAGTTGTAAAACTGCAGGGGAGTTTCTGCTGCCATGGTTTCTGTGGAGTGTGGGAGGATTGTGCCAGACTGTGAATATCACTAACCACACAGTCAGAAGAAAGTACATTATGGAAAATAAAGGCCTTACATTTCCCAGCATAGATAGTGTCTCTCCTAAATATGAGTTCAGGTATTAATGGGACCTTCTGCTAATATTTATTACTCTGAGTTTGTCCACCAATAGCTGTTGTTAAAAGATGTTTATTGATGATGGTCCTTGCCAGTTCTTAACAGTAGCCTGAAACCAAAAGGACTGAGCTTCAGGAAGTAAAAGGTGAGAGAGAAAGCCATGTACTTAGTAGAGTCAGGAGATTTCAGGTCTGTCTCAGCTCTGCAGCCGTCAGTTTCATGACCTTGGACAAGGCATGTCATCTTTGTTTATTTTTCAGTTCATTCAAGAGCTATTTCTGCATGCCCATTAGAAGTGGCTGGAGTACCTATGAACATAAATAACCAATAAAAAGTAGTAATGTTAGGGATGAAGACAATCAGTATAGAGACAAGTAAAAATATGACAGGGTCTCAGAGCATACAAGCAAAAAACCTCACAGCCTTGAGATTCAATAGAGGCTTTTTGGAGATCACATCTGAGTCTTTTAGGATGGAAGGGAATGGGGACAAAATACCCTGGCAGAGGAAGAATTATTAAGAGAAACAGGAATAGCAAGTACTTGTGTATACAACACACAACAACAGTTGCTTCTAGAATGTGAAGTATGAGAGGGTGAGTTGGGGCAGGCACAGAGATAACCTGGATGATTTTAAACTTCCTCAAATTTCATTTCCTACAGAAATCTAGTACTAATTAATATTCCTTTTTTTTTGGGGGGGGGGTCCGGTCGTGGGGCCTGAACTCTGGGCCTGGGCGCTGTCCCTCAGCTCTTCAGCTCAAGGCTAGCGCTCTACCACTTGAACCACAGCGCCACTTCCGGCTTTTTTCTTTTTGCTTATGTGGTGCTGAGGAATCGAACCCAGGGCCTCAGGCATGCAAGGCAAGCACTCTACCACTAAGCCACCTTCCCAGCCCTTAATTAATATTGCTTAGTGTGCTTAAATTTGATTTTTCCTTTGGTTCATTTTCTTCATTAATGCTGATTTTTTTTTCACATCTTGTTTGTACTCTATGACTGTAGGAGGGGACCAGGTTTTGTAGGTTGGGAGTGATAATATATTCATCTGATCCAGCTGCCGTAGTTTACATAATTTACACTAGAGGCACAATTTCTGTCAAATTTTTAATCTCTGTTCCCCCTTGCTAAAACAGGCTCAGACTAGTAATTTCAATAACCCACAAGCTTTCCCTTATGAATCCTGCTGATTGTCTCTCTCCAAGCCCTCTAATTTCTCTCCTTACCTTGACTGGTATCAGTCAATCAAATGTTTTTACTCTTCTTAATGTAGTTTCTTTTCTAAGAGATGTAGTAAGCAACACTTGTCCTGCTAGCGGCCACAGATGTCACTTTTATGTGACACTTGCATTTAAAATTGTTTTTTTAAACAAACATAATCTTTTCTGTTGTCCTAACTTAGCTGAGTCCCTTGTTTGTAGGCATGCTCTATCTTGTACCAAAAGGCATCTAGAAGATCTGAGCCATTCAGAGATATGCAGGCACTTAATTAGTTCATGTGTGAGCATCTGCTATGTTCTTCTTTTACTCAGGAAACTTGGAAATCCTTAAAAATCCAGATTGTTCCTTTGCCTGACTTCACAGGCCAAATTAGCCATTTGAGACCTGTACAACATTTTATTTTTTTTTTTTGAAAAAAAGTGTCAGTGTATAGCCCAGGCTGGTCTGGAACTGGCTGTATAGCTCAGGTTGGCCTTGAGTTCACAGTGTTCATGCATTTGCCTCCAGAGTGCCAGGATTACAGGGGTGTGCCACAATAGTTGTCTTCTCCATGGCTTTTAAACCTATGGTTTATCTGCAGTTCTGTCTCCCCCACTAGATGGTGATATCCTCAAGAGTAGGGATTATAATTTATTTGTAAAATTCATTCATTGAGCATCTTTTTAAATTTTAAAAAACCTACTAGTTATCAGGAGATATGACTCGTTCCCAACAGAATATGTAACTATGTATACATATATATATACATATATATATATATATATATATATATATACTAATAGATAACTCCAAATGACAGACACAAATAAGCACAGCTCCTTTTTGAGAATTCAGTGCTGGGAATGGTGCAAAAGAGGAATACATTCTGAAAATGGCATTTCTTTTTGATTATTCTCCCTGGAAGAATTAGCTAAGCCATGGATAGGTCTGAACAGGTGTTAGACATAAATAGGAGGGAAGGTAGAATGGGAGCAGGAAGACTGCATTCTTAGTCAAGAGAAATAGGCCTGACCCTAATTATAAAAGGAAACAATATGCATAAAGAAATGCCCTTTAGCCTGCGTGGGAGTTAAAAGGAGAGTGTTAAGGTGAAGCTGGAAGCTATGAGTGAGGATCCCAGCACTTGAGGATTGTGAGTTGATATCAGCCTGGGCTACAGAGTACATTCAAGGCCAGGATAAGTCATGTGACTCGAAGAGAAGAGACTGGAGAGGTAAGAAGGGGTTAAATGACTTAAGGACAGAAACTACAGTCAAATTTGTGTCAGCCTAACAAAGTCCTAGACAGACAAATTCATAAATGCTATAGAAGGGAGGAAAGAGAAGGAAGAAGAATATGAGTGGTATCTAAGTGATATGAAACACAACTCAATCCCATTGGGATTGAGACTTACCCACAAAAACAAGTCAATACAAGGCTCCATATGAGACAATTCCAAAAGAGTATGGTACAAGTGAATGTCAGTTTGTGTCTATTTGTTTGTATGTTTGTTTAGTTGATTGATTGGTTACTTTTATGAGACAAAGTCTCACTCTGTAGCCAAGGCTCATTTAGAATTTGTTATGTTTCAAACTCATGGTCCACTTCCCTCAGCATCCTGAGTATACTAGGATTGTGGGCATGCACCACTGCACCCAGAATTATAGAGAGGTTACAATACCAGACATTATCAGGGAAGCCTGCATGAAGAAGAGACCTCAATTGTGGTTTTAACTAAGAAGAAAGGAATAAATCCAGACTATATGAGAAATTCTAAACCTGTATAACAAAACAAATTAATAACTTTATTAAAAATGGGAAATCATGGTTTGAAAATATAAAATAAAATGGGAAATTAAATAGGTATTTGTTGAAAGAAGACATATAAATGGCCAACAGGTGTACAAAAAAAGACAAATCATCAGAGCAATACAAATCAAAACCACAAGATATCACCTCACTCCAGGATGAATGGCTTTTGTTAAAAAGACA